ATCATGAATGCCTGTCCTCTTTTTATTGTTACAGGAAAGCTTAACCTTTGATTTAAAGATATTCCGTATTAGATAGCTAACATTTTCCTATGTTCCATAAAGATAGTGATGATTAACCCATTAATTACAACCATGATATCAACAATCACTGTGATTTGACACCTGAAGCACTTTTACAGTTCAGATTATCAGCATTCCAGAACTTTGTATATTCGATATGATCTTCCCACTGAAAGTATAACTTCTTTTACTACAATAGCAGTATAATTGTTTTAGCTGAGTCCTGTTTTAAACAACTGAAATTTCAACAAACCATAAAATCTGTTTGTAGCTGAAATGCAGATGTTTATTTTAATATACAGAAACATAACAATAGCTCATAAAAATACAGATTTTCTGAGGCCAGGGGAATTTGTGCGTGCATGCCAGTTTCTCTCTTGCAAAAAAAGGCTTCTGTTTTAGGTGTACTTAGCATCTCCAGAAGATAATTTAAACTCAACACAGTACTCTGACTATGTATGCATAAAATTTCATTTTCATAACATACTTAAACAGAGTAATATTAAGATTCACGGGTAGGTGTTTTTACTTGATATTTCACCTTTAGAAAAAACAGTCACAGACATTTTCCTTTTTCAACCACAGTCATTAAAACTCCAAGATAAAGACTCACGCCAGGATAAAAAAAAAAAAAGTTTTATCTCTTCAAATATACACTCTTTTTTCTCTGTACTACATTCAGAAGTGAGATTTCTGCAGTGAAGGATTACTGCACAACAGAGAATTTCAGCATGGTTCTGATGACAGCAAATACCACAAAATCCGTTGGTGATTCATGTTCAGCATATCTCAGTTAAAATGCAAGTATATAGCAGATTTGTAGTATTTAAACAACGACTTCCAAGTACAAGCAGCTGCACAAACAGTAAGTTTAGTGTCTCGAGGTGATACCATTTATAGCATTCCTACCGTACTTCCATTACTGTTGATTAGCCTTGAAGCTGGAGCATGACTGTACTTTAAACATTACAAAACACAATCTCTCATAATCCCTCTATTTGAAATTCCATTTATTTAGATAGCTGGGTATGGTAACATATGCTGCATTTTGTGAATTCTTAGCACTTCAGCAGTTGTCCTTCAGAGCTGCAAACACGTCACTAAAACAGCTAACAAACTATTCCGGTATAATTTCAGATTTTACACAGAAGCAGCTGCTGTGCATATTTGGAACTAGCCACTGAACAATGCCACTTCGCACAGCGTGGGTGTTCACAAATTTCTTTAACAGTGTGGTGTGTTAAACAGAAATGACAGTAGTAACAGCGAGATGGACAGAACTGTAGAATAATAGAATGGTGTGGGCTGGAACGGACCTTTTAAGATTATTCCGTTTCATCCTTCAACTTCTATAGGCATTGACACTTCCCTCTACATCAAGTCGATCAAAGCCCCCATCCAGCCTAGTCTTGAAGACCTCCAGGGAGGGGGAATTCACAGCCTTTCTGGGGCAACTTGTTCCACTGTCTCATCTCTCTTACAGCAAAAAAATTTCTTCCTGGTATCTAGTCTCAATTAGAAGTTATCCATCTTACATGGTAGATACACTGAGCACAGTCTGAGTGACTGGAACAGGCTGTCCAGAGAAATGGTGGATAGTCCCTGGAGACATGCAAGGTCAGGCTGGACAGGGCTCCGAGCAGCCTCACGTAGCTGTAGTGTTTAGTGCAGAGGAGTTGGACTAGATGACCTTTAAGAGTGTCCTTCAACTCAAACAATTCTGATTCTATATACGAATTTAAGAAATAAAAAATATAAACACAAGATCAATGTTATAAAGTTATATTTTTACCCTCAGTTTCAGCGTTGGCAAGGAGATGTCTGCTAACAACTTTATTTCCTAGAAAGCAAACAGTGGCAAAACTCTTTTACCTAATACTAAGACAATTTGTTACATGAGCAAATGTTTACCTGAGCCTTTTCCAAATCACAAGTTACTAAATCATGGTTGGATATTTAAGGACATACATCACCTTTTTCACAAGCACTTTATCTTTCTCACCTTATCTTCTGCAGGGTTAGTCATTTGCTGCCTTTAGATAGAAATGAATCCATAAAACTATACAGCATCTCAGTCTGTACTAAGAGTCCAGGGATAAAAAAACAGCACATGACTATCACCAGAAATCTCTTGTCTCATGGACTGTTACTGGCTGTAGTACAAGAGAAAATGCAGTGTCTTACACTGAGGAACTGGAGAAACAACCATTAGTTTGGCCTTTCCCTACAATACTTTGTTCCAGAATCAAAAACGTCTGTATTATAAGGAACATTGTAAAGAATCTGTGCAATTTTCATTCTCTTTGTAAGAATGTCTGTCACTTTCCCTTGCAGCTTTTTTTAAAAGCTCATGCAAATACACATACCAGAACTGAAGATAAGAATTAGTCTCTCCACACTACTGTGCCCCTGCCATACCACTGTCTGCTTGCTTTAAGACGCAGTAGTAGGAAGCAAAAAATAGTTACTATGAGAGTTAATTCTGTGTGATGAAAGAAGTATCTTGTACTTATTATTCATCCTCGGTCCATTGACTGACTACCATACAGATGGACTCAAAATATCTGTGACCTTGTTTTATGAGGGTTAGAAAACATAACAAAGCCCATTGAAATAAAACCATGCAGAATCCTGGAAAGCACCTGCAAGGCTCTTTTAGTCTCAAATTGGCCAATGAAACTCCCAATGACACTCACCTGAGTACTTCTATTGCAGCTTTACAGGAGCTCTTATTTAAAAACATTACTCAACAACTGACGTAAGCAACAGAAAAACAGGAGAAATTAGTCATGCAACAAAACTGAGGGAATGCTACTTAAATGCTTATGCCTTCCAGTACCTGAAGGGGGCCTACAGGAAAGCTGGGGAGGGACTTTTTATTAGCGCACGTAGTAACAGATCAGTAACAGTAACAGGAAATGGTTTTAAACTGGAAGAGGATAGATTTAGACTAGATGTTAGGAAGAAATTCTTTATTGTGAGGGCAGTGAGACATTGGGACAGGTTGCTCAGTGAGGCTGTGGATACCCAGTCTCTGGAGGCATTCAAGGCCAGGCTGGATGGGGCTCTGAACAACCTGATCTAGTGGAAGATGCTATAGCAGGGGGTTGGAAGTAGATGATCTTAAAGGTTCCTTCCAACACAAACCATTATGTAACTCTGTGATTCTAAGAGAAATTGTTGTTAATCATTTCTTTCTATATTTTAAATCACTCCTATTTTTACGTGTTTTACTAATTATTAGTAATGCCACTGCAACAGGGCAAAATGGTTGCAATGGACATTACCAAAAGTATTTGTATGTTTCCAGCTCCCACTGAATACATATTATTTCTTTTTGCATGTTTGTTAGTTATTCATATTATTTATCAAGAAAGATTTCACAAACAGATTTTTCTATGATAATTGTTAAACATTCAGTAGTCTTTGCAGTACAACAATTCAGAAATTCTTGATTCAGTTTCAACAAAATTCATGTGAAATGCTCTTAAGGGTACCCTTAAGTTCCTCACTAATATAACCATAGGCATTCAATTGCAAATGCATAGAAAGAGCTTTTTTAATACACAACATGAAAGAAACTGTCCCACTGGACCCTCTAGTTTTATGTTTTCACAGCCTACCCCACATGCTTTTTTGCTGCTTCTACCACGTACAGGCACAAGGCATGAGTGGCTTGAAAAAATACAGTACACTAGACAAGTTATTCTCCGGCTTTACCTTACTTCATCTAAAAGAATTTATTATTTTAGTTTCCCTTCTCTGTTATATTAGTATATGAAATTGGCCACTATTTTCACATCTTCACATGACAGCTTTTGAATTACATAAAGTTACTGCATTACAGAAAGAAAATAAATCTGCCCTGAGAATAATGCCATCTGTAATATAATAGATCCAAAACACTAAACTGGAATAAGGAGGAGCAAAGGGGAAAAAAAAAAAAAGGGGGGGGGGGGGAGGGGTTTAGAGGTATCAGATACAGATACTTAGAATACATTACATGGCATAATTCCATTTAAACCAATTCACAGCAACTCCTAGTACTGTTCTGGATGGCTGAATGTACAGTGGTAGTTGGCCTACTGGTCCACACTCTGAATACAGTTCAAAGAACATTGTTGGAATTTATAAAAAAAAAAAGACTAAGTAGTTGCTGAGGTTCTTATATCCATTCCCTTTGTAATTCCCATGGAAAGTAAGCC